GTGTCTGTGTGCTTGTCTATACCTATGATGTATATAATCCAATGCTAACAAATCTAGTAGAAAAGCATCTATGTCTATTGGCAGCAATAAATGCAGATAATTGAAGATAAATGTAAAGACAAAATATAATTATCACAACTTAGACAACAGAGGAATGTTCAGAACAAACCCAACACATCTACGGTGAAAAAATACATAGTCATTACCATTCAAGCAATGTTAATACTAAGACCAGCTCAATATTAACTAATAACAAAGGAAAATATTGTATGCTTTACCAGAAGCATAATACATCTCTTTAATTTTTATTCCCCTAATTTGGCTTCCATTTTATGAATACTTTCAGAATGATATTGTATTTATTTCCTACTGCAAGGAAAACAGCCACTATTTTACAGATTTTAAAAATCTAAGACTGCCAATTCTGGTAACTCAATGATAAGACATTTGTCTATAATTGCTACTTTCAAAAGTTCTTTGACTATAACCCCATTGTATCTTTCCCCTCTCTATGACTATTAATAAATCCATGCACAGTACGTTTTCTTGTTTTCCTGACCAAAGCAAACACTGGAATAATAATATTGAAATAATAAAACATATTTCTAAAGCTAATCAAACTGAAGTCTATTTAGTTATAACTGACAGGTGTCTGAAGTAATCAAGGCTGTTGGTTACTAAAATTCTTCTAACTAATATGAAAATATACATATATATATATATATATATATATATATATATATATATATATATATATATATATATATATATATATATATATATATATATATATATATATATATATATATATATATATATATATATATATATATATATATATATACCTACACAATCTATGCTTAAGCATTCCTATCTTTTTTATTTTTCTATAGATTTTAAATGCAAATACAAGCACATCGACATGAATAAAGGTAGCCTCTATTAAACAGAAAACTACTACTAATAAATCATAACTCCATAGACAACTGATTCTCATATTAAAGCAAGTCATCTCCATTAGAAAAAAAAGAAATAGAACTCTCAAAAGAAAGAATAATCATATAATCAAGAACCAGCAAAATCAATAGGTCTATTTCTTTAGGGAAATCTAGTATGAGACCAAATTTGTTTGCCACTTTAGAGAGAGTTTAACAGAAATAAAACATGCCATTTATCAGCAGGTGACTTCATCCATGGACTTGCAGCTGGCCGAGAGTGAGCCTCGAGTAGAGGTTGTCCTTGGAGTTGACGGCCTGGAGGACGAAGGGGATGAATCCCTTGAGTCCCGCTCAGAACTGGCCCTCAGCTCACCCTCATTTGGGAATTCGGATGACGGCCTGCTGTGGATCTTTGCATGCAGCTCTGACGACTGGCAGAGTGAGAGTGGAAGGTGTTTGGGGAGGTGATGGGACATGGGGGGCACAACCATGTCATTTGTCGAGTTGGAAATCGTGGAGATCTGGTTATGGACATTGGAGCGTGCAAGCGAAAGCTGTTGGTTAGAAAGCGAGAACTCATCCGTGGTTGCTGAGTTGGTGAGGACCATGGACGTGAAGGGGAGCATACCGCGCAGCTTGGTTGGCTTGGGGTCACCACAGCAGCCACACAGCCTGGCTCGAACTGCCTCCATGATTTTGGGTTTCAGGATGAAGATCAGGAACACAATGAAGCCCTGTAAGGGGTGGCTGATTATTAACTAATTCTTTCATGATATATCAAAAGACATCCTCATTACTCAGCTGAAGAAGGAATTCATACCAGTTCCTTATAATCATATAAAAGTTAAATCATGAAACATGCTTACATTAACACATTATATTAATGTGTTATTACAAAATCCACAACAAAAATATAAAGCACATCTCAGTGTTTTGCTGGAATGAGGTGACAAAAAAAATGACCAGTAATGATACTGTGATCTCAAATTTTATCACAAAAGTCATCTTCCACAAGAAATAATAAAGAGCAGATATAATCCTAGGTAATTTCTAGGAATTTAGGGAACGAGGTAAAAGGGCACATATAGTGTGTGTGGGCTGTGAGTGTAAAAAGGTTGTGATCATTTTTCTAAAGAAGTATCAGTTATGCTTCACTCTTTCACCTCTCATGACTGGATTATGTCCATTTGTGCTTTACCAAAAACTTCTGGAAATCATTGATTAAAAAAAGAAATTTGTCAATATATCACAAATATCGATGGAGAAAAATTATCTCTGTACTTCTCATTGGCTTTGTCACTGATGTAATCTCAGTAATATCTACTTATCGGAAATCTTGACAAAAAATCCAAATACCTGTACTATCAACAATGCAAGTTCCCCTAATTAGTTCATAATTATTACAGCCCTATATATGTAATTTGAGAATGTAATAGTTACAGCAATACAACACTCCACATTTTAATAAAATCTTATAACTCTCCACAAAATCTTTTTATCTTTACTGAACACAAACCTGTGAACAATTGAAAATGTTTGAGATGTATCCAAAATTGCTTGGTCCAAACTGATATGCGATGATCTCTGCAAACCAGCTGATCCCCATAACCAGGAAAAGCTGAAATAAGAAAGTATTACTTGATAATATTTTCACAGCCTGAGTATTGCAGATTGACAGACACACAAATAGATAATTAGGCACATGGATGAATAGATACACAAACAGATACAAATATAGATATAGATGTAGATATGGATTTTTTCACAGTAATGAGAAGATAATGAAGCCCAACCTTAAAGCACAGTTTGAGCCTCTGCTTGGCTTGCTTCTGAGCCGTCCCCTTGTGGCTCTGCTGAACAGTGACGAGGAGCGAGCGCACAGTCAGGAGGAAGAAGATGAGGTCAGCTATTAGCAGGGCAGCCACTGGCCCAAAGAAGTATGCCCATTTGGCTCCATTGCTGTGTGTTAGAGTGTCTGAAAGGGAAAAAGGGAAGTAGAGCAACAGTATAGTATTTCTTGTAAAAACAGGGAGTTTTTTCTGTACCATTTACTGAATCTTTGTCCATTACTTCTGTAATATAAAGGAGTCACCTCAGCTTGTGGGTATAAATGCTTCTGTAAATACATATATCCCCCAATCAGAATATAAATAAAAAGTGAAAATTCTTATCACATTAATATCACCCCACCAAGACATACAATCAACAGAGATCCTCACCACTGAAGAAGCAAGAATATTTCCCAAAGTTGGGTTTAATGTAACAGCTATTAATGGAAGGTGAAAGATCCATGATGAGCGAAATGGCCCCGAAGGTGATGGGGCCAAACCAGGCATACACTTGGTACCATACCCAGCGGCGACCACTCGAGCTCTCCTGCCTGGAAAGAGGAATTCGGCTTTTAAACGGGACCGTCTTCTCTACCGATTACTTAGGAGATAGAATATTACCATTTACCATGATGGAATATCAAAACTGAAGTACACTACACATCTGCTATGCCTTTCCTTCACTGTATCTGATGGTATTAAGTATTAAGTAGGGTCTACCTGTATTCACCATTGCGTGTACGTGCTAAAGAAACTTACCTTGAACACTTCCACCAGATCTCAAAGCAGAGGACATTTAGCCAGAAGAAAGTGGCCATGAAGAACATGTACATACACACACCTGTTGGAAATGAAAAATCAGTTCCTTCTTATATATAAAAAGGTGATAACATGTAGTGCGCATTGTCTGGCTTGAAGTTAATTGCTTACATATATATATGGAATGTTCTAATGACAACAATAATGAAAATGATAGTAATCATCATCATCATCATCATAATAACAATAATAACAACAACAAACAAAAACAGTGATAATAATAATGACAATAATAATAATAATAATAATAATAATGATGATAATAACAGTAACAACAAAAGCAATAACAGTAACAACAAAAGCAATAACAGTATCAACAAATAATGATAACAATAATAATAATAATAATAATGATAATAATAATAATAATTATAACAATAATAATAATAATAACAATAATAATAATAGTAATAATAATCACTATATTCATAACTATCATCATCACCATCCACAACAATTATAATAACGATGATAATGATAATAATAATAATATCAATAATGATAATAATCATCATCATCATCATCATAATAATAGTAATAACAATCATTATATTCCTAATTATCATCACCACCATCATCATGATCATCATCATCATAATCATAATTATAACTATTATAATTACTATTATTATTATTAATACTATCATTATTATTATTATTACTACTACCACTGTTGTTATCATTATTAATTTCATTGTCGTTTTTTTAAAATGTGATAATGTTAATAATGATAAAATCACATATTTGGAAACAAAATGAAAACACAAAAACCTTGTCAAACCACTTTAGTTATACAAACATACAAAAGAAAATATGCATAAGCAGACAAGTAAAAAAAAAAAAAAAAAAGGTGTAAAAAATACAGATATAACATTAAAAACGAACACACAATGTCCACTCACCAACACCAATACAGGCACTTTTGCTTGCCAGGTAGATCGGGTCTGAGAAGAGGTTTATGATGATGAGGAAGAGATACGCAAAGAACATGCTGAAGAGGAAGCAGAGGAGAATCCGACCCAAGACTGAGTGTGCCAGCTTTACCTGTTGAGAGATGGACAAAGTGATACACTCCATTACTGTGTAGATAAAGGTTTATAAAATGTATTGTGCTTTTTCTTCTTTTTTCTTTCTTTTTAGATGTCTTAGTTTTTTATATGATTTATGATGTAATTTACCTAACATCATGAGGCGCGTGATGTAAGCCACATTATCAGAAAATGAATGATCCATGTATTAGTCAGTGTATAAGGGTTCATCCACATTACATACAGAGGCTCTCATGCACTTACATTCTTGTTGAGACCGCGTTTGTTCTGGTCTGGCACTGTTAGATACACGATGAAGGAAATCAGAATGAAGAGGTCTGAGATTCCCAGAAATACAGAGTAGATAATCCTGACGTCTGACTTTT